GTGTGTGCATGTGTGCCTGGGTGTGCATGTGTGTGCATGTGTGCCTGTGTGTGCATGTGTGCCTGTGTGTGCCTGTGTGTGCATGTGTGTGTATGTGTGCTTGTGTGTGCATGTGTGCCTGGATGTGCATGTGTGTGCATGTGTGCCTGTGTGTACATGTGTGTGCATGTGTGCTTGTGTGTGCATGTGAGCACCATAGCTAGCACACATGTGGATCAGGGATATCACTCCTTACCCTCTGCCTTTAGGACAGGAACCCCGTCTTGTTTGCTGTTAACCCTCCCCAGATTTACATGGCTTCCATGATCCAAACTCAGGTCCTCACAGCCAATGGCAAGCATTTGACCCACTGAGTCATCTCCTCTGGCAATTTATTTATTTTTTTGACAGTCTCGTGTATTCCAGTCTGGCCTCAGACTTGCTGTGTAGCTGAGAATGACCGTGAACCTGTGCTCCCCTGGCCTCCGTGTTCCAAGTGCTGAGACAATCGGCCTTTAACACCATGTCTGTCTTTATGAGGTGCTAGACACTGAACTCAGGGCTTCATGGATGCTAGACAAGCATGTATACCTGTGTCCCAGACGAGGGCATCAGACCCCATTACAGATGGCTGTGAGCCACCACGTGGTTGGTAGGAATTGAACTCAGGACCTCTGGAAGGACAGTCAGTGCTCTTAACCATTGAGCCATCTCTCCAGCCTGCTTAACTGGGTCTGGGGTAGGGTCTTTTTTTTCTCCTACTGGAATGAGAAAGTATATATATATTTGAGACAGAATCCCACTGTGTAGCACTGGCTCTTCAGGAATTCACTGTAGACCATGGCTGGCCTTAAATTTACAAAGATCTGCCTGCCTCTGCCTCCTAAGTGCTGGGATTTGAAGGTGTGAGCCAGGAGGCCCAATCTATTGTTGATGTTGAGACAAACTTCTTTTTTAACTTTACAGGAGCCCAGTGTTGAGACATAGTTTTAAAAGAGATCTTGGATGTTTGTTTGTTAGTGTGTGTATGTATGTATGTATGTATGTATGTATGTATTTGTTTGAGCTCTTGAACTTTTAAAGCATCGAAATTTTATAGTTTGAAATGACATGTTTGTATGTCAAGGTTGATTGGGGTGGAAGTGTGGGTGGAATGTCATTGTTATCTTTGGCTGTCAACTTAGTACAGACCTAGAGTCACTTGGGAAGCGGAAACAGCAGCTGAAATATTGCTTTTATCAGATTAGCCAGTGACAGTATCTGTGAGGCATTTTGTCAATTGCTAATTGATGTAGGATGACCCAGTCCACTGTGGGTGGCACCATTCCTAGGCAGGCGGGATTGGGCTGTATAAGAAAGGCAATTGAAAACCAGGTGGTGGAGCAGGCCTTTAATGCCAGCATTCAGGAGGCAGAAGCAGGCAGATCTCTGAGTTTGAGGCTAGCCTGGTCTATAAAGTGAGTTCCAGGATAGCCAGGGCTACACAGAAAAACCCTAACTTGGGAGGTGGGGGGTGAGGAGAAAAGAAAAGAAATGAAAAAAGAAAGGTAACTGAGCAAACCAATGAGCAGCATTTGTCTATGGCTTCTGCTTCAAGTTCCTGCATTGGCTTCCCTGGAGCGGCTTTAACTTGTAAGCCAAGTAAGCGCTCTCCTCCCAGGTTGCTCCTGGTCATGGTATTTATATAAGCAACAGAGAGCAAACTAAGACAGGTGTCTCAGAAACCAAAAACCAGAGCACTCCTCTATAATGAGGTATTTCACAATATAAATCCATGAGAGACTGGAACTCCCACAAAGCAAATTAAAAATGAGAAAGAGGGGGGAAAATCATTACAAACTACTGGAGTGTTTGAGGCACATACCTGCCTGCAGTCCCAGTACATGGGAACAGGAGGAGGATCAGCCCAGGACCAATCTCAGCTGTGTAGTGATTTTGACAGTGTCATGGGATACATGAAACCCTGTCTAATTAAATAAATAAACGTAAGTCACGCCACATCCTCCCTGTCTTTCTGACCTGCGTCAGTACCTTTGGGCTCCTCATTCTTTGTGAAATGACCCTTTTTGTCCATGTGACCCTGCCTTCATAGAGGGGTCTTTGAGTATAAATATAGAGTCCAGCAACCAGATACACTAGCTTCTCTAACAGAACAACCCAAAATTCTAAAGGTATTTTTTTGCCTTCTGTTGAAGATACATTTTTTTTCTTACATAATAGACCCTGACTATGGTTTTCCCCCTCCTCTACTCCACCTAGTTAACTCCCCTCTCATCTGAATCACACTCCCTTTCTGTCTCTTATTAGAAAACAATTGTTGCCGGGCAGTGGTGGCGCACGCCTTTAATCCCAGCACTTGGGAGGCAGAGGCAGGCGGATTTCTGAGTTCGAGGCCAGCCTGGTCTACAGAGTGAGTTCCAGGACAGCCAGGGCTACACAGAGAAACCCTGTCTCGAAAAAAACACAACAAAACAGAAAACAATTGTTATTATTATTATTTCTAAGACATAATCATATAATAAATTATAATAAGATAAAACAAAGACTAACCACATATCAGAATGGGACAAAACAAACAAGCAGAAGGAAAACAAAAAGCCTAAGAGAGGGCCCAAGAATCAGAGACCCACTCATTCTCACACTCACGAATTCCACGAGTACACTAAACTGGAAGCCATGATATATATGCAGAAGACCCGGTGCCTTCTGGTGCGGGCACTATGCTTGCTGTGAGCTCATAGGTGCATTTCGGCCACGTTTGTTTAGAGGGCTCTGTTTCCCTGGTGTCCTCCATCTCCTCTGGCTCTTACAGGATTTCTGTTTCCTCTTCCACAGGGTTCCCTGAGCCCTGCAGGAAGGAGTCTGATAGAGACAGCCTGTTCAGGGCTGAGTGTTCCAAGATCCCTCTCTGCACAATGTCTGGCTGTATTTGTGTTCCCATCTGCTGCAGGAGGAAGCTTCTCTGATGATGGCAGAGCAAGGTACTGATTTTTGAGTACAGCAGAATGTCGTTAGAAGTCATTTATTACTGTTTTTTTCTTTTGTTTTTCTTTGGCTATCTACTCTTCGGTTCTTGGTCACCTTTCTATGGGTTTCGTCTCATGGAGTAGACCTCAAGTCAAATCAGATGTTGATTGGTTACTCCCATGATACCGTAGTCCACCCTTTAGGCAGGACAGCATCGTATATCAGAGGGCTTGTGGCTGGGTGGGTGTTTATGTTTCTCATTTGGTAGGGTGCAGAGTACCTTCCTGTACAAAGACACAACAGCATAGGGGCGAAGGCTCTGTGTAGTCACCGGCTCTACTTCTCCATGTTTGGTGAGTTGTATAGGTGTCATGTTCACCGTGGAGCCTGGCCATCAGTTGTGGAGAGCAGTCTATAGTTTTGGCAGAACCTTGATTGTTTGGGGATTGCCGTGAGATTCCTTTGGCCGACAGCTCAATTAGATGTAACCTAATCCTGGTATAGGACGATTCATTTTGTGGCAAAAGATGTTGAGTTGGGGCTCTGACTCCCTCATTAATTAGTGATGTCATTCAAACTGCCTTCACACATGTGCATATGTGTGCACTGCCTTCACACATGTGCATATGTGTGCACTGCCTTCACACATGTGCATATGTGTGCACTTTAGGAAGCTTCCACTGTGTTAGCTTTCCATACTTCCCTCTCAAATGCCCCTTACTTCTAGCTGTATTCCCTCCCTCCTCCCCTCCCCCCTCTTCTTGATCTTTCAGTTTCAGCCCCCCCCACCAATCCATCCATAACTATATTCTATTTCCCTTTCCCAATGAGGTCTGTCTGTATGTACCCTCTGCTTCCTTGCTCCATACCTAACATACGTGGTACTACGGATTGTAACTTGGTTATTATAGATTTAAAAGCTAATATCCACCTATAAGAGAATACATACCATATTTATCTTTCTGGACCTGAGATATACCTCATTCAGGTTGATGTTTTCCCCTGGTTTCATCTATCTACCTTCGAGTTTCATGATTTCATTCTTTGTAACAGCTGAGGGATACGCAATTGTGTGAATATCCCTCATTTTCTTTATCCATCCTTCCCCTGAGGAACATCTAGGTTGTTTCCAGTTTCTGGCTGTTATGAATAAAGCAACAATGGACAGGTGTCTCTGTGGTAAGAGACACTTTAGGAATATGCCTGAGTGGTATAGCTGGATCTTGAGGTACATCAATTCCCATCTTCCTGAGGGACTGCTGCATTGATTACCATAGTGTCTGTTCAAGTTTGCAGCCACACCAGCAAGGGATGGATGCTCCCCTTACTCCACGTCCTCCCACAATGGATGGGTGCTCCTCTTACTCCACGTCCTCCCACAATGGATGGGTGCTCCTCTTACTCCATGTCCTCCCACAATGGATGGATGCTCTCTTTACTCCACGTCCTCCCACCATGGATGGGTGCTCCTCTTACTTCACGTCCTCCCATAATGGATGGGTGCTCCTCTTACTCCATGTCCTCCCACAATGGATGGGTGCTCCCCTTACTCCACGTCTTCCCACAGTGGATGGGTGCTCCCCTTACACCACATCCTCCTCAGGATGAGCTGTCATTTGTGTTATTGATCTTGGCCATTCTGACTGGTGTAAGGTGGAATCTCAAAGCAGTTTTGACTTTCATTTCCTTGATGGCTAATGATGTCGGGCATTTCTTTCCTTTTATTTTATGTATGTATGTATGTATGTATGTATGTATGTATGTATGTATGTGTTCACTTTACATCCAGGTCGCAGCCCTCCCTCCCTCCTCCTTTCCCAGTCCCATTCTTTTAAGTCCCTCCCCTCATTACTCCCTCCCCCTTGGGTACCACCTTGCCCTGGGACATCCAATCACAGCAGGACTCAGCACATCCTCTCCCACTGAGGACCAACCAGGCAGTCCAGTTAGGGGAAGGGAATCCAATGGCAGGTCCAGTGGCAGAGTCAGAGACAGCGCTGCTTCAAAAGTTAGGGGACCCACATGAAGACTAAGCTGCACATCTGTTCCAGATGTGCCGGGGCCTAGGTCCAGCTCCTGCATGCTCTTTGGTTGATTGGTTCAGTCTCTGTGAGCCCCCATTGGCCCAGGTTAGCCAACTCTGAGATCCTGTGATGTCCTTGACCCCTCCAGCTTGTTCAATTCTATCTCCCTGTCTCCCACAAGACTCCCCTGTACCACCTGATATTTGGCGGTGGGTCCTTTCATCTGTTTCCATCCAGTGCTGGATGAAGCCACTCAGGAGACAGTTATGCTAGGTTTGTTGAAAATTTCTTCAGATGTTTCTCAGCCATTTGAGTTTCCTCTATTGGGAATTCTCTGTTTGGATCTGTACTCCATTTTAAAAATTGGATAGTTTTCTTGATACTCTAGTTCTGTTGTGTTTTGTTTTAGTTCTTTATATATTTGAGATGTTAGCTTTTATAGGATGTGTAGTTGGAAAAAAATCTTTCCCCATCTGTAGGCTGAGGCTTTGTCTGACTGCTGGTGGTTTTCACCATGCAGAAGCTTTTCAGTTCTATGAGGTCTCATTTATTTATTGTTGGTCCTAGAACTAGGGCTAATGGTGCTCTGTTCAGAAAGTATTTTCCTGTGCCAATGTGTTCAAGGCTATTCCCCTTTCTCTTCTGTCAGGTTCAGTGTATCTGGGTTTATGTTGAGGACTTTGACCCATTTGGAGTTGAGTTTTGTGGATCTATCTGGATTCCTGTGCATGGAGCCATCCAGTGTGACCAGCAACACTTGTTGAAGATATCTTTTTTTTTCTCCAGTGTGTATTTCTGGCTTCTTTATCGAAAACTAGGTGGTTCATAAGTGTGTGGATTACTATCTGGGTCTTCAATTTGAATCCATTGATCATCATGTCTGATTTGTGGCAATAGCATGCTGTTTTCATTACTATAGCTCTGTAGCACATACAGCTTAAAATCAGGGATAGTGATGTTTCCTGACATTCTTTTAGGATTCACAATTGTTTGAGCTGTCCTGGGTATTTGTGTTTCCATACGAAGCTGAAAATTGTTCTTACAACATCTGTGAAGAATTGTGTTAGAGTTTTGAGGGGGATTGCATTGAATTGCTTTAGGGAGGATGACCACTTTTTACTATATTAAGCCATGAGCATGGGAGAGCTTTCCATTTTCTGAGATATTTTCCTCAACTTCTTTCTTCAGTGTCCTAAGGTTTTTATCATACAAATTTTTCACTTGCTTGGTTAGAGTTACCTCAAGAGATTTTATATTATTTGAGGCTATTGTGATGGGTGATGTTTCCTGATTTCTTTCTCTGTTTGTTGTTTGAACATACAGGGCTACTGATTCTATAGGGTAATTTTGTATCCAGCTACTTTGCTGAAACTGTTTATCAGCTGTAGATGTTTCCTGGTGGAATTTTAAGTTGATGTTGGCTATGGGCTTGCTGTAACTGCCCTGTTCCTTACTTTCTCTCCACCTTTCTGGCTGTTAAGAGAGTGTGGTGACTGTGTTGCCTGGTAGGAAAATTATCTGGAATCCTGATAGGTGGCCACTGGGGGTTCCAGGTAAAATATGTGTTTAGGTATCAGGAGCTGACAGTTAGGAATGGGGTGGGCTGGGCTTGTGGGGAGGTCCACAAAAGGGAGGAGAGCAGGGTGGTCCACTAGGATCTGTTTAGTGGTCTGGGATTGGGGGCAGAGAGTAAGGAGAGCCACAGCAGAAGCGCTGATACAGAGCTGGGGTGAGGCCAGCCGATGGGACTTGGAGGAATGGGTAGAGAGGTGAGGAACAGTTACTTACTGAACCACTATCTCCTAAGCTGCTCACTTTTTCTTTTTAATAAACTAAACCTCTCTTCCTCCTCCTCTCCCTCTTCCTTCCTTCAATCCTCCTTCTCTTGAAACAGTCTCATGTACCCCAAGCTAGATTCAAACTTTCTATATTGCTGAGGAGGACCTTGAACAACTTCTGATCTTCTGCCTGCACTCCTGAGCTCTGTGGATGTCAGGCAGGCTTGTGCTATCACACGAGTGAGTTGACATTGTGGTGCCTGGGGAATCAAAGCCCGTAATATATAAGGACTCTACCAGCCGAGTCACATCCCCACCCAGCTGGAATCCCAGTTTTTGTAAAACATGATTTTTAATTTAGTTGCTTTTCATTGGCTTAAGTTATGCACGCTCGCAGAATGTACGTCGAACCACCTTTGTCCGGCTTCCTTTGTTCTGCGAAGCAGATGGAAATGAGGTGGCAGACTGGGAAGGTTGCCATGGTGCTGTGGCTGCAGAGATTTAACAGTAATCAAAAGAAGCTCCAGAGTCCCCTCCCCCACGCTCCAGTACGGGTTTCTCACATTTCTTGTCCTTTGTGGCTAAACTGCCTGCTCAATGATTCCCACAGAACCTCTTGTCTCTGCTTCCCCAGTCCTGAGATTACTCGGCCTGGTTTTATAGGGGGATTGAACTCAAGTCCTCACGGCCTGTGTGATAAGCGCATTGCTTCTGTCTGAGCCATCACCTCGGCCCGTTATGTGCACTGTGGTAAATATATTATTATATTTACTTAAATTAATCTCAGTCAATCACTAGCTTCCGTCAACTGCGTTTGAAGATCATCCTAATACTTGGAAGAGTGAGCGAAGGAACTTCTGAAGCCCCGCCTCTCTTGTTAATCAAAGGGCCTAATAGAAGGCAGGATTAGAAGGAACGTTTGCAGCTGCATCTTTGACTTTAAACATTGTATTAATTTTCCAGTACAGTTACTTTTCTGTTGTTGTGAAAAAGCACCAGGACCAAAAGTAACATATGGAAGAAAGGGTTTAGTTGCAAAGGGAGAGTCCCTAATAGCCCGCAGCAGACAGCAGGCATATGGCAGAAACTGAGGCTGAAACGTCATATCTTCAACCTCAAATGGGAAGCAGAGCAAAGAAAGTGGGTCAAGGCTTAAAGCCCAGGGATTTCCTCCAACAAGGTCATCATCTTAGAGGTTTTTTGTTTTTTTGTTTTTGTTTTTTCGTGACAGGGTTTCTCTGTGTAGCCCTGGCTGTCCTGGAACTCATTTGGTAGACCATGTTAGCCTCAAACTCAGAAATCGGCCTGCCTCTGCCTCCCAAGTGCTGAGATTAAAGGCGTGTACCACCACCGCCCGGCCCTCTTAGAGTTTTTATAACCTCCCTAAACAGTGCCAAAGCCAAAAGCCTTCACTACTGGGGACCAGTGTTCAAATACTGGAGCTAGTCGGAGACATTTATCCTTCCAGCCACCACAAATATGTAAATTGAAACACAAGCCAAGCTTCCAAACTCCTGAGTGCTGGCTCTTCCTCAGTGTGCTGAATCAGCTGTGCTGCTTAAAGGTTTCTGTTTTCTACACCAGAGCTAAATCAACAGCTCTTCTCATTCAGCCGATAGGATTCTTTCAGATTAGAAATAGCAGTTCACCCTCCTGGAAACTGCAATTTTGGTGTAAGTGGTATGGGCATGTTATTTCTAAGCTCTGATAATTCCTACATAAACTGAAAATTTCTCCCTTTATGATAATTGATGTGTTTATAAAAAGATAAAGAGATATAGAATATGTTCTATGGGTGTGTGGTGAGGTATGGGGGAAGGGGATGTTTCAGCGGGCCCATGCCGAGGCATTCCTTCCCCCTGAGGGAACAGCCACAGGACAGTATAGTATAGAATAGAGTTTATTCAGGGCACAGGGAGGGGAGTTAAGAGGGTAGTAGAGGCAGAGAGAGAGGGAAAGAGTAGAGAAGTAGGGGCCAGCCATGAGCACGTGGAAAGAGGGGGATGGGAATGGGGAAGGGGGTAAGGGAAGGGAGAAGTAAGAGCAAGAGAGCAAGAGGGTGGGGGGAGAGGAGGGGGAAAGCATCCCCTTTTATAGTGGGCCAGGCCTACCTGGCTGTTGCCTTGTAACTGTGTGGGTGGGGTTTAGACAGAATGCTAACAATAATAATCCCAAAAGATACAACTCCAAATCGTACCTGGCTTGAGGGCTTGTTTGTTTTATATTCGTTTATTTATTATTTGTGTGTGTGTATGTGCGCACGCACACGCGTGATGGACCACGGCAGAAGTCAGAGAACTTCAGGAGTCAGGTCCCTCTCTGCCCTCTGGGTCCCAGGGCTCAAACTCAGTTTTAGGGGCTGGATCCATCACTTGCTAAGTCATATCCCAGGTCCTGTGTCTTTCTTTGAGACAGGGTTTCATGTAGTCCAGGCGAGTCTTGAACTAGTTTTCCTTCTGCCTCTTCATCCCAAATTCTTGGATTGTAGACACAAATCATTGCTTCGGGCTTACGAGGATATAAAAATTGGTTAAGAATTGGTCCCCTGGAAGACCAGCCAGTGACCTTAACCACTGACCCATCTCTCCAGCCCCTAAACTTGAATTAAAAACAAAACACATTTATTTGATTACTATGTGGAGTATCATGTGTGTGCCACAGCATCCGTGTAAAGCTCCGAGAACAGCTTGTGGGAGCTGCTTTTCTCCTTTTACCATGTGGGTCCAGAGATAATGGGGGTTGGTGTCCAACACCTTTTCCAGCTGATCATCTCAGTAGCTGTCACCTCCCATGAGCTTAAACACTGATTATGGACGCACAGAAACAGTAAGATCAGAAAAGGCTGCAGGTCCCCCCCCCCTTTCTTCTACCTTTATGAAGAGCAGATTATTCCAGGATGTACACAGAAAGACTTGTAGAGGTTCACCTGAGCTAAGCCCCACCCCTGCTTGTACGATTGTCTCTGTATTTAGTATATTTAATAAAGAGGCCCACTGTTGAGTCTTTTCTAAAAAATGTTTTCTGTATTTTTAGATTCGAAAGAGAGGCAGCACTCTCACCTCTCTTGTTGCTAAGCAACAAACCGTACAGTTGCTAGGAGACGGACTAGCAAGGTTGGGGGTAATTCTTAATCCAGCCACCACCTTTCATGTCACCTGACTTTAGAGCTTCAGGCAAAAGAGAAAATGTATCAGATAAAGCATAGTGTATCGAGAGACAGGAGCAGGGTGGTCAGGGAATGAACTACTGCAGATAGTAAGGATTTGAGGGGAAGGGTGTGGGGGCTCGGCATGCAGAAGCCCTTACTCGATTTGCTCACATTAGTCTGGAAAAGCCTTCAACTGCCCTGCTGAATTTGATCTTCTGCATGCATCTATTTGCTTTTATCTGAAAAACAAATTAGGGTATAAACTCCAAGACAGAATCTTCCAGTTACCCTTCCTTTTTTTTTTTTTTCCAGTTACCCTTCCCAACTGTATAGGGGAAAGTGGAAATCAACAGCAATGCTCCCAGAAGACTGGCAATTACAGAAATATTTAAGATGATTTAAAGTCCCAAGTCTGGAGGCTGTGGGTGCAGCCCAGCCCATAAACTGCTTAACCAGCTCAAACCGCAGCACCAGGTAAAACAAACCTGTTGACAGGTACACTGGGCAGAGGGAGAAGCAGAAATACAAGGTCTTCCTCTGATACAAATTGAGCTTGAAGCTTGCCTGGGAAACATATGGCTGAGAGAGAAAGATAGAGATAGAGATAGAGAAAGAGAGAGAGATGGAACCCATACTCCATCCCTGAACCCCACATACAGGAGTAGTCTAACTTCTGCATGAGCTGTGGCATGTGTACATATGTAAAAAAATTAAAAATCAATACAATACCCGAGTCAGATACACAGCTCCATTTCCTTCTGCTTCTCCTTCACAATCGTAAAATACAATAGGATTGAGAAGAAATTAGAATATGTGTTCTTGACCAAATTTAGAAGCCAAATGGTCAGACAGACTCGTGTGCAGCTTTTCTTCTACACATAAATAAATATACAGATAGATTCAAAACCTACTCTGGGGGGCCGCAGAGGTGCTTAGTGGTTAGAGTACTAGCTGCTTTCCAGAGGCCCTGAGTTCAGTTTCCAGCATCCACACCTGACGACTTCCAACTCCACGGTCTCATGTCTTCTACCAGCCTCCACAGACATGTGAAGATATGTGGTACGCCCTCACACGCACATACACATAAGTACAAATAAAAACAAATGTTAGAAAGGCGAAATAAAACTGGGTGCTTGATTCCAGTGCTCAGGAGGCAGAGGCAGGCCTCCTGGGAGCTCGAGGCCAGCCTGGTCTACAGAGTGTAAGGGTCCATGATTCACCAAAGAATGCAAACATGGTAGAGTGCTTTATTCTGCAGAAGTCCAGCATGCTGGGGTCCCCCATTACCAAGATAGAGAGACCCCAAAGTGGGCTCACAGGACTAATTTAAAGCACTTTAGGGGAATCCCAGGGTAGGTGGGCTTTGTCTTACTCTATCTCTAAGGACTTTCCATTACTGGGGCATGGGGGCTGGCTAGAAACTGCTGACCCATCGTCCTTGTTTCAGGCCAGGTGGAGGTGGGGACAGTTTCTGACTAGTTGCATGAAACCTGGGTTTTTAGGCCTAGTCTCTTTAACTACCGACTTGAAGCCTGTCATAGAATTAGCCCAGCCTTTTCAAGAGCAAATTCCAGGACAGCCTGAGCAACACAGAGAAACCCTACGGGGGAAAAAACAAACAATAACAACAACAACAACAACAAACAAACAAAACTAAATAATATAAAAATGCACACACACCCTACACACATACACAGACACAAACAAATATGGAGTTCATTTCGTGTTGAGCGTTCCTGGGGATGAAGCATGCCCTGAAGTGTGGTTAATATACCCAGTAACACTCTATTAGAGAAGATTGATCTTCCCTTTACCAGCAGGTATTAATTGTAAATAGCTTCTTGGTCAGGGATGAGATCCGGTGTCCGCTTCCCCCTCTCTGTGTTAGGACCCTGTGTAGCAGGAACCTGGGCAGTCCTGTGCACTCTGCCACCACCCCGAGAGCTCGACGTGCATCATCAGTCCTGTTGTGTCTAGAAGACAGTTTCCTTCCTCTATCTCTGTTGTGTCTGAAATGAGAAATCCAATGCCAGGCTTCACAGGGTCCTGTGACAGGCTGAGTCTCTGGGGCTAGTGTTACCAGCAACCTAGAAGCTCCCAGGCTGTGTCGCAGGGCAGTCTGGAGCCTCTGTTTGCCTAAACCCCAAGTCAGTGACAAGGGCAGCACAGATAAAAATCATCACAAAACAGCCAGGTTCCGTTATCCTCCAGTGATTTTATGGCAAGCAGTCTGTTCTGTGTTCAGCAAAAGTCAGTCTAAAATGGTGGTTCCACGGAACTGGCTTCATGGATGTCAGTTTTCGCTGCCGAGCACTAGGAAGATGTTGGGGAGTAGATTAGTTAAGATAAAATACATGTTCAGGTGTTGCCAGCTTTAACTAAAAGCATGTAAAGAATTTGAACACAGAGTTGGAGAGGTGGCTCGACAGGTTAAAGTCCTTGCTGCCAAATCGGATGGACTCAGTTCGAGCTCTGGAAGTATCTGCAGGAAGGAGTTCTCTGACCTCTACAAGCAACCTGTGTTTTTTATCTGTGCACGAGTGTGTCCACGCACACATACACGCAGAGATGACAACATCACTAATAATATAAATAAATATAATGGAAGAAAGAAAAGGGAACTGCTGTGTGTTGGAGGCTCAGGTGGTGGTAGATTGCTTGCCTGTTGAGCACAGTAAACTGTCAAGGGGCATATGTATGTAATTCCAGCACTTAGAAGCTGGAGACAGGAGATTGGGGAAAAAAATAGTCATTCTTTTTCACACTGTGAGTTCAAGACTAGCCTATAAAAAAACCAACCTGAGAGGGGGAGACGGAAAGATTGTTGCCAGTTCAAGGCCAGCCTGGGCTACATAGAGAATACCAGGCCAGCCAGAACTGCAACGAATTAGCTACACTGTGTCATGAAACAGAAAAAGAAAATCTGAGACAGAGAAATAGAGACAAGGATTTAAACTGAGGGGTGGTGATGCATGCGTCAATCTCAGCGCTTGGGAGGCAGAGGCGGCAGATCTCTATGAGTTCGAGGCCCAAGTTCCAGGATAGCCAGGAGAAACCCTGTCAGAAAGAAAGAAAGAAAGAAAGAAAGAAAGAAAGAAAGAAAGAAAGAAAGAAAGAAAGAAAGAAAGAGGGAGGGAGGGAGAAAGAGAGAGAGAAAGAGGGAGAGAGAGAGGGAGGGAGAAAGGAAAAGAAAAAAGAGAAGAAAGAAAGAAAGAAAGAAAGAAAGAAAGAAAGAAAGAAAGAAAGAGAAAGAGGGAGGGAAGGAGGGAGGGAGGGAGGGAGAGAGGGAGAAAGGAAAAGAAAAAAGAGAAGAAAGAAAGAAAGAAAGAAAGAAAGAAAGAAAGAAAGAAAGAAAGAAAGAGGATGGAATTTTAAAATTGTGACACATGAGGCTGTAGAGAGGCCTCAACAGCTGAGAGGACTGACTGTTCTTTCAGAGGACCTGGGTTCAATTCCCAGCACCTATATGGCAGCTCACAACTGTCTGTAACTCAAGGATCTGACACTCTCACACAGACATACAAGCAGGTAAAACACCAGTGCACATAAAATAAGAATTATAAAAATATAAGTAAAATAAAAAATAAAGTGTTTATAAAATTAATTAATTAAATTGTGACATCTAGTCTGGGAAGAGAATTCAGTACTTACTGCCAAGTCTGAAAACCCAAGCTCTGTCCCTAGAACCCACAGGACAGATGGAAAGAACTGACTCCTGCAAGTTGTCCTTTGACCTGCACATACAAAATAAGTAAAATAAAAGGTACAACAATTGAAATATGCCAGCCCAGTAATAAACATTATTTTTCATTTTGTTTTATTTTAGTTTATGTGTATAGGTGTTTTGCCTGTTGTATATCTATCTCTACACCACATGTGTACCAGGGCCCAGGACATCCAAGAGATGAGGTGGGATCACTTAGAACTAGCGTTACAGATAATTGTGAATACCATCTGGGCACTAGGAACTTGAATCCAGGACCTCTGGAAGAGCAGCCCACATTTTCTAGCCATTTTTCTAGCCCCAGTCAATAAACATTTTTTAATTATTATATACCAGTGTTATGGTTTGTCTATGCTCAGCCCAGGGAGTGGCATTATTAGAAGCTGTGGCCCTGTTGGACTATGTGTGTCACTGTGGGTGTGGGCTATGAGACCCTTATTCTAAGCCTGGAAGCCAGTATTCTGCTAGCAGCCTTCAGTTGAAGATGTAGAACTCTCAGCTCTGCCTGTACCATGTCTGCCTGAATGCTGCCATTTTCCTGCCTTGATGATAATGGACTGAACCTCTGAACCTGTAAGCCAGCCCCAATTAAATGTTGTCCTTGTAAGAGTTGTCTTGGTCGTGGTGTCTTTTCACAGCAGTAAAACCCTAACTAAGACAACCAACCAGTCTTTGTGTCAGACATTTTTCTCTGTAGCCCAGGAGGTCTTAAATTTGTGACCTTTTTTTTTTTAAATTTATTTATTTTATGTATATTAGTATACTGTAGCTGTCTTCAGACACACCATAAGAGGGCATCAGATCCTATTACAGATGGTTGTGAGCAACCATGTGACTGCTGGGAATCGAACTCAGGACCTCCAGAAGAACAGTCAGTGCTTCTAACTGCTGAGCCATCTCTCCAGTCCCAGATTTGTGATCTTTTTATCTCAGTTGTACAGACGTGCTTTGCAGTTTCTGTTTTGTTTATGTTTTTATTTAAAATAGTCTTTCTGTATAGCCCAGGTTGGCCTGAACTCATTCTGTAGACCAGGTTGGCCTTGAACTTGAAGATCCATCTACCTCTGCCTCCAGAGTGCTAGGATTAAAGACACACACGACCACGGCTTAAAGAGTTTTAAAAAATGTTTCGGAGTGTCTGCCTGCATGTCTGTCTGTTCACCCTGTATATGCCTGTGCCCAAGGAAGACAAAAGAAAGCATCAGATCCCCGGAACAGGAGCTAGAGACAATTGTAGGCCACCATATCAGTGCCAGGTATAAAATACAGATCCACTGCAAGAGCTGTCCGTCCAGCACCCCTCTCCCTTAGATATCACCTTTAAGATGTATTTATTTATGGGGGGGGGGATGCCCTGTGGCACAGCACAGAGGGACACCTTTCAGTGAGTCAGTTTTCTCCTAGAGGTTGAATTCAAGTCTGTCAGGCTTGGTGAGACATGACTTTTCCTGAGTTATCTCAGTGACTAATAATTTTACATCCTAGATTCACTGTAGAATCTGGCACTTGACACAGCCTGTAATCCCGGCCTTCGGGCAATGGAGGTAGACTGGCCAGAAATCCAAGACTCATCCTAAACAGTATACTGAGTTCAAGGCCAGCCTGAGCTACTGGAAATCTAAGTATAAGCTGGAGAGATGCCCAGTTGGCAAAGGGGCAGCCACAAAAGCCTGAGGACCTGGATTTGGATGCACAGTGTATGCCGAAGAGCTGGGTGCGGCAGATCCGGTCTATCGGGCCAGCACCAGAGAGTTAGAGACTTGGCTTCCCAATGCTCATTGGTAAACTAGCTTAGCCAAATCCACCAAAACCAGGTTCAGTGAGAGATCCTATCTCCAGAACAAAACAAAACAAAATAACAAGCAAACAAAGCACCAGGGGCAACAATAGCAAAAACTCTAAATATAGTAAATAAAGAAATAAATTCATAAGGAGAGTTACATTTAGGGCGAAGGACATAGCTCATTTGGTAGAATGCTTGCCTGGTATGAATGAGGCGCTGCAAAAAACAGGTGTTGGGAGGTCCAGAGTGGTAACCCATGCACGCCTTTAATCCCAGCACACTGGAGGCAGAGGCAGGTGTATCTCTGAGTTCAAGACCAGCCTGGTCTACATAGTAAGTTCCAGGACAGTCAGGGCTCTGTCTCTTTCTTTTTCTTTAAAATTTTATTTTTTTCAAGACAGGGTCTCACTATGTAGCTCTGGCCTCCTGGAACTCCTAGGTTGGCCTCAAACTCACAGAGATCTGCCTACCTCTGCTTCCCAAGTGCTAGGATTAAAGATGTGTAACACTACACTGGGCTTAGAGAACCTGTCTCACAAAACAAAACAAAACAAAACAGCAAAACCAAAAACCAAACCAACCAACCAACCAACCAACCAAACAAACAAACAAACAAAAAAACTCAAAAGATCCCTTACCACTAAAACATAAAAACAAACAACCAAAACCAACTCAGGTGCTTCACATACTGTTATAAT